TCGACGAGCCACGAGTCGAACTCAATCGGCTGCCCCTCAGCATCAAAACGCAGGACCGAGTCCGCCATCATGGTTGCAGCAGTAGGAGAAAGACAGTACTGGGCAGGAGAGCGCGGCAGAAAGCGGTGATGTGCAATGCAGAGAAGTACTGTGTGGTGGAGGGAGGTGCAGTACGATAGGGTGCAGTGCAGTGCGGTGCAGGGCGGTGCAGTGCAGTGCTGTGCGGTGCACAGCGGTGCAGTGCGGTGCCGTGCGGTGCAATGCGGTGCAGAGCGGTGCCGGGCGGTGCAGCGCGGTGCAGAGGAGCCAAGGACGGTGGCGAGGCTTCTAGAAGACGGGGCTGCGGGAGGCAAGGCGACAGGGCCGGCAAAGAGGCGGGACCGGCAGGGAGACAGGGCCGGCTAGGCGACGAGGCTGGCTAGGTGACGGGGCCGCGGGGCTGCTAGGGGTCGGGGCCGCGGGGCAGCTAGGGACGGGGCCGCGGGGCAGCTAGGAGACAGGGCCGTGGGGCGGCTAGGAGACGGGGCCGCGGGGCCGCTAGGGGACGGGGCCGCGGGGCCGCTAGGGGATAGGGCCGCGGGGCCGCTAGGTGACGGGGCCGCGGGCCTCGAGGTGACGTGGCCGCGGGGCTGGTAGGGGACGGGGCCGCGGGGCCGCTAGGTGACGTGGCCACGGGGCCGCTAGGGGACGGGGCCGCGGGGCCGCTAGGGGACGGGGCCGCGGGGCCGCTAGGGGACAGGGCCGAGGGGCCGCGAGGTGATGAGCCACGGGGCGACGAGGCGGCTAGGACCTAGTGCGGAAGCGCTAGGGGGGGGGGGGGGGGGGGGGCTACCTACTCATGATACCATGTTCAAGTGAAAGAATGATTAGAACAAGAAATACAAGGGAATATTACCTAATGATTTGTACTCCCTAAGGCACGACCCTATATAGTATACAAAAACATACAATATATGTTTGACAGTATGAACATACCGTGATAAATGACATCATTTGGAGGACGGAGGATGGTGCGTGAGAGCGAGTGTTCCTACCGTTAGAAACTCAATCACTCAATACCGAGTTAAAAGGGCTTATCAAGTAGTAGGTAAGTGCGCCCATAACCTCCCAGGCTCTGCACCTGTAGCCCTTCCCCGAGGATCTCAAGAGCAACCCCAGCGGGTCTCCCGACACCCCCCTTCGCTGGGATAGGCGGAAGACCTTGCACCTCTGCCGGTGAACTGCCACCTCTACCGATGCACACACTGGGAATTGAAACCAAGACCTTTGGCTCTGATACCGTGTTAGAAATCCAGTCACTAACCACTGAGTTAAAATGACTTATTAAGTAGCAGGTAAGTGCGCCCAAAACCCCCCAGGCTCTGCACCTGTAGCCCTTCCCCGAGGATCTCAAGGTCGACCCTAGCGGGTCTCCCGACTCCCTACTACTTGTATGTAACCACCTCGCACTGTCGCTGCAGCTTTTCCACCTCCAGGAGAAGGGTTAGAGCGTGCTCCTACACCTCTTTTCAGACATGCCTCTTATTAGGCGCGCGCGGTACTGTACATTGCGAATTTGGCGCAAGCTGGTTCAGTGCGGTTCGGAATGGTAGAACCCGAGGCTGAAAAGGTGTTTGCCTGATAAGGGGTTCTAGGCACACGCTCTAATACCATAATCCCCCGTATATAACACCCTATGGTGGATATTAAAATTCACTAAAAAAATGACTGGGTCTTAACAGTGGCCCAGAAAAATATAGTGCCCATGTGTGATGTAAAATGCAATTTGAATTTGAGTGTTTTAAGGCTTATACAGCTACCGGTTCTTGTTCAGACGATGTTGGCGATATGAATGCAGTTGCATACGTGTCGAATTCGATATCAGCACGACCAGGCGTGGCCAATCCCAGGCGGCCGTGCCTGCCAACGGTAAAAATGCAGCCACATGCTGCCAGCGCAGGGTAAGAACGGCTAGGTGCGGTGGATGCTGCCAACGCAGCAGACGTGAGCGAATATGCCCTTCCAACTTGGCATATCGAACCTAGCATGCAATGGTGTTTCCGATTTGCGAAAGACCGTGCGCGCTCCGGGCTTGGGTTCCAACCACGTTTCTTGTTCATCCCTATCTTACCGCAGCGTTTTTTTTCAGTTCTGCTTTCGTTTCTCGATACAAAACCCGTCACGATGCCCGGGCTCTCTAATAGAGCCTCGGGCACTAGTCCCTCGACTAGCAATCTCCCTTTCAGGTGCTGCCATGGCAGCGCGTACGTTTAGCGGCCTCTCTATATTGCGCACCCATCGTCCTCCCTCCGGCAATCAGTTCCTACTCCGTCCGTTCTGGTCGATTCCCCTGGCACCACCTGCACCACCTGCTCCTCCCGCTCCACCTACGCCACCTGCACCTCCGGCGCCTCCCGCGCCTCCCGCTCCCTCGTCGCCGATTCCCAGTCGTCCGTCTGAATGGGACAATTCATGGCAAGACGATGAGGACGAGTTGTACTGGGAGTAGGCTGCCGACGGAGAGCCTGAGCCTCCGCCAACACTTCCTCGAGTTGCTATTCCGTCTTTCCCTCAGCCTAGGCATCGTCCCAACATGCCTCGCGTTAACCGTGATGCTGCACCTCCCTCCCTCAGAAACCGCAGGTAGAGGCGCAAAAGAGTCTCACGTACGGGGCCGAGAAGCTCTTCTGGTTGGGCAAGCTTGACGACGACCCTAAGCCATCCAACCGCAAGCTCGCAAGGATGGCAAAGGTCCAGCCTTGTCAGATTCGCGAGTGGAAGAAAAACAAGGCGAAACTTGCGGCGGTTACTGGCTGCAGGCGTCGTCTCATCGGCTCAGGGCGCAAGGCCGAGTTCCCCGACATGGAGCGCGAGCTGTACAAGCGCTTCCTCTCCCATCGCGCGCGTGGCATGGCAGTCTCCATCAACTGCCTGCAGAAGTGGAGTCGGAAGTACATGAAGAAGCGGCACCCTGGAGTCGACTGGCGAGCATCGTCGCGATGGACCTTCCACTTCCGCACGCGCTGGGGTTTGACGAGGCGTGTGAAGACCAAGATGGGACAACGCCTCACAACCGGTTACAGTAGTTTCAATTGCCCCGAGTGTTTCCACGCCGTCTTTCCTCGCAAATTCGACTTGTACTCTTGCGTGTTGTTCCATGTCTGCCTGCTTATTGTGCTTGGTTTTTTGTGCTTGCAGATTGCGAGGAAAAAGTGGAGAAGTTTTGGGAGTTTGTGCGTCAGATGCGGAAATTGAACGGCTACCCCGACGAGTTGATAATCAACGCCGACCAAATACCTCTGTTTCTGGAGATGCTGCAGGAGACAACGCTAGAGGTCTGCGGCTCAAGGACGGTGCACGTGCGCACCGCCGGCTACGAGAAAGAACGGCTAACCGTCATGCTGGCGGTCACTGCTGCTGGACAGAAGCTGAAACCGTATATCCGAGTCCCCCCTGGTGAGCTCAAATCTTGTTGTTTGATTCATTTTGTTTATCGTAATCCCCGTCCCATCCCTGTTGTTTTTCTCTTTTTATTGACCCCGCTTGATATGCTTATGTCTTGGCTTGTGTCCAGGCATCATCATCCGTGCGCAGCCGAAAGGATGGATGGACGAGGAGCACGTGAAGGACTGGATCACATCAGTGCTCGACCCGTTCCTTAAGCGAATCCCTGCGAGGCGTGGCGGTCGAGCGAAAGCCCTCGTCGTCCTCGACATCTACAAAGGGCACCTGACCGAGGGCGTGTCAGCGGCGATGCGCCTCTTCAAGCTCCCCAGGGCTCTACATGCTGGTTTGAAGAGTGTGGCTGCGATTTGACAACACCCGCAGGTGAGATCCTTGCCGCTATGTGCCTGCGTTTCGCGCTGTTTTCATTACGTGTGCTCCGTCGTACACTTCGTGACTATTCGGACGCTTGCTCTTTTCATCGATAATTTTTTTTCGACTCTTAAAGACTGCCATTTCTACCGCCTTATCTCTCTGCGCCCCCGCCAGGAAACCTCAAGAAGCCCCCCGCGGAGGTGGTGCTACAGTGGATCGCAACCGCGTGGGAGGCCGTCCCTGCCGAGCTCATCCGAAACGCCTTCAAAACCTGTGGCATCTCTACCGACATTAATGGGACGGAGGATGAACTCACCCTCGCCCACATGAAGGACAAGTCAGATGTGGAAGTGATGGATGATATGCACGCGGAAATGGAGGAGAGCGGCGAGAAGAACCCGCTCTACGAAGCTGACTTCGTCGAGCCCGCCGCAGACGAGCTGTCCGAGGATGACGACGACAAATCCGACGTGCCGCAAGCTGCATCGACGGCATCCGGCTCAGCAGAGGTAGCACAGTCCTCCGCTATGGCGGAGGCGCGTCTGACGGCAGCAGCAGCAGCGACTACAGCAATAGCGACGGCCGCGACAGCAGCAGCAACAGCAGCAACGTCGGCAGCAGAAGCACCTGCGACCAGTGATGACGACGTGATCGAGATGGCGCCAGCGGCAGAGGTGCTTGCTGGGCTGGCGGCCTCAAGCTGGACAAACGACTATGACTTGGACGACATAGCGTCCGGCGATGACGACGTGGAGGCGTGGCACGCTGGCAACGAGGATGACGAAGAGGATGAGTAGTAGGTATTAGACTGATTTCTGACTGGGCTTGAGCCCCTCTAGACCTTGCAGTAGTGTTTAGATGCAGCTTCATTAGCTAACTTTTGATTAGAATTTGAGGCCTGCAAATGCAGCCTTGCTTGAATCTTCCATGATGTACTTCAATTCTTAATATTGAATCGATTACATTGTAGCAAAAATGTGGGGGGTGTAATGTAAAATTCAAGGTAAAAAAAGCGGGTGCTCTCCTAAATGCACCCTATCATAAGCTCTACCCCGCATAAACTACTCACGGAGTGACTATTCCGGCGGGTATTATATACGGGGGAATACGGTAGACTTTGTTGTTATATCCCAAATACGACGAGGTGTAAATAGTAGAAGATTTTCGTTTCCCAGTAAAGTTATAAATTGTTTTTGGATTGCCACACAAAGATACCGTACGGTACCGGCTCGATAATTATGTTGAATACCAAAGAAAGAATTTGTCTTGAAATCTAGAGATTGAACCAGTGTACTCAAATATCAACGGATGATCTGAAACCGGGGACAGATAAGGCTTTCAGGCTCTGTCAAGCTTGGTGGACAGGGTTTTTATGGCGGATGACGTGTTATGCTCTTTCCATTGATCGCCGTTCGGTCGTCCGATCATTCCACGTTGGATTCGCCATCGACGAACGGTAGCCAAATCAAGTGGTGCCTGCGAATGGCTGCAGGGCTGCGCCGCGTGTGGTGGTTGTGCCATCCATGATTCCATACCCTTCCCGCTCGTCTCATCCTCTTCGAGGCACCACAAGAGCAACGATCATTTTTCTTCGATTTCCTGCCTTCCCTCAAGTAGACCGTGTGTCAGGGAGACAAATCATCATCATCTCACGGTTTCCCGCTGAAGCTCTATCAAGCAACTCCTGTTTGGTAAATTCACCAGAGGGACGAGCCAAGCGTCTCAGGCATTTCGATCCGGGCGAGCGTCATGGCGGCTGCTCGCATCGCCGTGCTGACGGCGGTGTTTTCGCGGAAGCTGAGCGTCGCGGCGGACAAGGCGGTGCAGTGCGAGCTGAATGACTCGCTGCTCGTGGACGCGCATGGCCAGACCGCGCCCAGCGTCGAGATCCGGGTCAACGCGAAGAAGCCGTCGCGGGTAGCAGAGTCTCCGCGTAGCACGAACGGCTCGTGTCTAGCAGCGGCAGACGAGGCCCTAGCGTGCACCAGAGCCCTGCATGCGGGCGGCACAGCTAAAGCCGTGGCACACGCTCGCCTAGGGGTGCCGTCGTCCGCTCTTGTGGCGGTCGGCAAGACGGACGCTCGCGCCATAGTGGCGACTCTAGGATCTGCCGCTGCCGGCGGCATGCGCGAGTCTCACCACGCGCTGACTGCGAGCGGCGGCGGCACCCTGCTTCCCCCGAACGGCGTGGCGCCTCTCTCGCACGAGGCCAGCGGCGCGCCGAGCCGGTCTTCTCAGCGCGTGCGGTGGACGAAGCGGAAGAGCCGTTCGACGCCGCGGCAGGCGGCGTGGACGGCGGGCGAGGTGCGCGAGAGGGAGCGGCGGATCGCGGAGGAGGTGGCGCGCGTGCCGGAGGGTCGGAGTGTGGCGGCCGTGCTGGACGCGTGGGCGGGGCGCGCGACGCGCGTGGAGATGTCGAGCGTGGTGAAGGAGCTCGGCGCGCAGCGCAAGGCGCGGCGGTCGCTGGAGGTGTTCGAGTGGATGGACGCGCAGCGAGGGCGAATGCGCCCCAACGGCCACACGTACACCCTCATGCTCGGCATCCTCGGCAGGTGCGCGCTCGTGCTCCGCATCCTCGGCAGGTGCGCCCTCTTGTGAGCGAAAGCAGGCGAAGGATGTATGCAGTATGGCGCGTGCACGCGAGCGAGATCGCGTGGTAGCGTGGCTCCGATGAAGCGGCGTCCGATGGTTTGGCGTCCGATGGTATGGCGTCCGATGGTATGGCGGCCGATGGTATGGCGTCCGATGGTATGGCGTCCGATGGTATGGCGTCCGATGGTATGGCTGCCGATGGTATGGCTGCCGATGGTATGGCGTCCGATGGTATGGCTGCCGATGGTATGGCTGCTGGGCATCGAACTCAGAACTCGGCCTGGGCGTTCCGTTATCAGCGGAAGGGTCATGACGTCGTAGGGCCGTGAGAACGGTACGAAGCCATGAAGGGCCAGCCGCGCAAGGGACTCGCACAGCTGGCGAGTCCCTTGTGCCGGCGCCGGCGCACGCGTAACAAGTAACATGTAACGCATGGAAAGTAACATGTAATAACGCATAAGAGTCCGTACGCCATTCTGAATCTCATCCGCTCGCACGCGCACTCCGCTCCTCCCCCGCCCCCCTGCCTTCTTTTCCCCGTGGCCGTGCCGTGTGTGCGTGGGGCGGGCAGGGCGGGCATGGTGGAGGAGGCGGGCGCGCTGTTCGACCGGTTCCGCGCGGCGGCGTTTCGCGACAAGGTGCACGGCTTCAACGCCGTGCTGCACGCCTGGCTCACCCACGGCCGCGCTGAGGACGCATGGGCGCTCTTCCACCACATGCAGCAGCAGCAACAGCAGCAGCAGCAGCAGCAACAGCAGCAGCAGCAGCAGCAGCAGCAGCAGCAGCAGCAGCAGAGTCAAACACCGGAAGCGAGCGCAGTGTCGACTGTGCCTGGCAGTGTCAGTGCCAGCAGCAGCGCGTCTCTTGGCACTGCTGCTGCTGCTGCTGCTGCTGCTGCCGCCAGCCCAGCGCCAGCGGGGCATCACACCCGCCGACCTGCTACCCTCAGCACCACGCACCTGCACGCCCCGCCTTGCACGCCCCCCCGTGAACTCGCTTCTCATCCCTCGCCTCCCACTTCGCCCCTCTCCTACTCGCCTGCTGCCCCCTCCGCTGCCCGCGCCTCCACCGGCCAGTCGTCGCAGCCGTCGCAAGCGCCTGCCGCCCGCGTAGAGGACCGCGGCGACGGCGACGGTGCGGCGAGGTGGGGCCCCGCGCCGGCGCCGGACGCGGTGACGTACAACACGATGATGAGCGCGGGGCTGGCGGGGGGCCGCACGGCGGGCAGGGCGCAGGCCAAGTGGCGCGGGAGAGGCAAGAGCGGGGGGAGCAGTGGGGCCAGCAGTGCAGCGCGGCAGGCGCTTGCGCTGTACGGCGAGATGAAGGCGGCTGGCGTGCGGCCGAACTCGCGCACGTTCAACATCCTCATCGCGCTGCTCGCCCGCCACGGCCAACTCGCGCAGGTACGCAGGGGCTGTCACCCAGCTGCGCAGGGGCTGTCGCCCAGATGCGCAGGGGCTGTCGCCCAGGTAGGGGCTGTCGCACAGGTATGGGCTGTCGCCCAGGCAGGGGCTGTCGCCCAGATGCGCAGGGGCTGTCGCCCAGGTAGGGGCTGTCGCACAGGTATGGGCTGTCGCCCAGGCAGGGGCTGTCGCCCAGATATGGCCGCACCGCGCCTGTCACTCGCTTTCTTTCCGCCCCCTTGCTTTTCCACACCCCTCTCCTTCCTGCTTCCGTTCCTGTGTGCATGCATGTGGCATGCGTGTGGCATGCGTGTGGCATGCGTGTGGCATGCGTGTGGCACATGTGGGCTGCAGGCGGAGGGCGTGGTGGCGGAGATGCGTAGGGAGGGCGTGGAGGTGGACGCGTACACGGTCAACACCGTCATGGCCATGTACACGCACGCCGACCGACCCGACGACGCCATCCGGGTACAACCGCCCACACGCCACGCTGATGCTCTGCCCCATGCTCCGCCCCATGCTCCGCCCCATACTGCGCCCCATGCTCCGCCCGATGCTCCGCCCCATGCACCGCCCCATGCTCCGCCCCATGCTCCGCCCCATGCTCCACCCAATGCTCCGCCCCATGCTCCGCCCCACGCTCCGCCCCATGCTCCGCCCCATGCTCCGCCAAATGCTCCGCCTCATGCTCCGCCTCATGCTCCTCCCCATGCTCCGCCCCATGCTCCGCCCCATGCTCCGCCCCATGCTCTGCCCCATGCTCCACCCAATGCTCCGCCCCATGCTCCGCCCCATGCTCCGCCCCATGCTCCGCCCCATGCTCCGCCATATGCTCCGCCTCATGCTCCGCCCCATGCTCCGCCCCATGCTCCGCCCCATGCTCCGCCATATGCTCCGCCTCATGCTCCGCCTCATGCTCCGCCTCATGCTCCTCCCCATGCTCCGCCCCATGCTCCGCCCCATGCTCCGCCCCATGCTCCGCCCCATGCTCCACCCAATGCTCCGCCCCATGCTCCGCCCCATGCTCCGCCCCATGCTCCGTCCCATGCTCCGCCATATGCTCCGCCTCATGCTCCGCCTCATGCTCCTCCCCATGCTCCGCCCCATGCTCCGCCTCATGCTCCGCCCCATGCTCCGCCTCATGCTCCGCCCCATGCTCAGCGCGCTGAGTTCGCAGTGGTTTGCATGAGAGAGTGGCATGTGTGCTGTGCACTGGTAGCATCCGTGCTTGCAGAGCATGGATCATTAAGCCTATTCTGCTTCACCCATGGCTGTGGATTTACGGCCGCCCTTCTCCATCGTTACGGCCCTCTGGGCTGCAAATCCATCCACCAACTCCCTTGTTCCCCACACCCCTCCTCCCGCCCCTTCTCTCCCCTGTCCTCCCTGGACGCAGACGTACGAGAGGGCGGTGGCAGCGGGCATGCAGGCGTCCCCGGCGACCTACACGGCGCTCATGGCGGCGCTCACTGCAGCGGGCCGCCCCGCTGACGCCATCGCTGCCTTCCACCGCATGCTGCAGGCCGGCCTCCCTGCTGACGTGGCGGCGTGCGGCGCACTGCTGGCGGCGCTGGCAGAGGCGGGCGAGGCGGAGCGGGCAGAGGAGGTGCTGCGGGCCATGCACACGGAGCACAGCGTGGAGCCCAACGCTGTCGCATACTCCGCTGTCATCATGGCCTATGGCAGGTCAGTGGCCCTCTCACCCCTACCCCCCCCCCCCCCCCCCCCCCCCCCGGCCTTCCCAGGCCGAACCACCCTCCACTGTGCACCTCATGTGGTTGGTTGGAGGGGAACCACATGAGATGCGCTGCCTGCCATCCCGCATCACAGTTGTGGGTCACAGCCTTGCACAGAGCAATTAGTGCCGCTGTGAGGGTCAGCAAGTGTGCAATGCTGCTCTGCATGCTTTTCTGGCCAAGGGCTTGTTGAAGACGAGCACTTCGTTTGCCAAGGCTTATGTAACAGCACATGCTGAGAACGAGGCACTCACACTCCCCTCTGTTGCCTGTGTGTGTCCCCCCGTGTGCGTGCAGGCAGGGCATGTGGGAGGAGGCGACGCGCATGTTTGAGGCGATGCTGAGCGCGGGGTGTGCGCCAGACCTGCAGGTGTTCAACATCCTCATGGCCGCCTACGGCCTGCAGGGCCTCTCGCTGCCCGCCGCGCAGCTCTTCCGGCGCCTGCAGGCGCATGGGCTGCGCCCCGACGCCGTCACGTACAACACGCTCATCCATGCCTTCAGCAAGGCCGGCCTGCCTGCCGCCGCGCTGCGTGCCTTTGAGCACATGCGGCAGGGCGGGTGCGAGCCCGACCATGTGACGCGCTGCCTGGTGGCGCGCATCCTGCACGAGGCGGGCCGCCACACTGATGCCGAACACATGCTGCGCGCCCCTCCGCCACCGCCCCTCCTGCCCTCGCATGTGTAGCTTCGCGTGTTCAGAAAAGTTGTAGCTTGGCCATACAAAACAGGCTTCAGTAGATACTGATGCCAAGCACTGTAAATGTGAGGCCAGTGTGGACATGCCTGGATGCCACTTGTGATTCTCATATGTTCGTTTGGCTGGGAACAAAATGGACACTGTTGGGCTGAGAAAAAGCCCTTAGGATCTTTTGCAGAGACTAAGTCCCAGTTGAAGATTAAGACTTGAGTAGTGCAGCGGTAGTTGAGGCAGTTGAACCCTTGTACTAGTATATGAGAACAAGTAAAAAATAAACAAGCATACAGCAATATATAGAAGATAGGAGGGCAGTTGTAGAATACAGTTACAGGAACGGTTTATCGAGTCGCATAGCGACTCGATTGCCGTTTCGGTTACCATCCGTGATGTTGTAACGGTCAGTCGCAACCTCCAGTTGCGACCTTTCGAGTCTTTTCGCATTCTTTGTCCGCCCCCTCGTGTAACCTCCGTTGACTCGCGTGCTCCCCTGTAATCTTCCTCGAGTACAGTGTTACACTTCAGAAACGCTCAAGTCTTTTGAGATATTTCCAACAGACACCACACATCCGCCATCTCTTCGACACGACAAAGGATTTGACAGATTCTGATGCATAGAACGGCTCACATAAGCGAGGGCTTGGCTCGCCGAGTTGGGCGCGACAGTTTTGTGCACTAGGGCTGATCCCATACATCCACCCTGATGAACAGCTAGGAACTAGGTAGCCATGAGAAATGTAGAGGTGTTTAGCTAGGTAGAGAGATAGGAGAGAAGTTGGCGAGAGAAAAGAGAGTTGGACTAGAATTGAGAGGGATACAAGAAGGGTCTTGTTGTACCCTCTACAGTAGGATCCAGTAACACCTACCTACCAAGCCTACATATATATATATATATATAATATAATTTAACACACCCCCTAGGCTTGGTAGTCGCAAGCCCACCCCACATGCAACACCCCCAAGCCCTTGCACCCCCCCATGCCCTGCAGCAGGTGAGGCTTCTACCCCTCATGCGAAGCGGTGACACCCTCAGCGGATGGCAGCAACAGCGTCAGCGGCGGCTTCTACGACGACGGCAACGGCGGCGGCAGAGTGGGCGGCGGCGGCTTCGACGACGGCGGCGGCGACTGCGAAGCTCGCGGCACCCGGCGGCGTGGCACGACCCGACGACGATCGGGAAGAGAATCATCAGCTGCGGCTGGAATGAGGGGTGGCGCAGGGGAGGGGGCGTGGCTTCAGCGAGGCGCCGTGGCTGGCGCGGCGCTGGCTGGTGTGTGGGCGAGCTGGCCGGCGCTTAAGACAGGGCGCTGGCCGCAGCCGTCCGTGCGCTGGCGCGGCGAAGCCGCCACGACAGCACGACGACAACGCGGCACGGCGGCTAGGCGACACGGCGGCACGGACACGCTGGCATGGCAGCACGTCGGCACCGTGACACGACGGCGTGGCGGGACAGCGACACGGCGACACGGCGGAACGGCGGCACGGAGGCACGGCGGCACGGCGGAGCCGCCACGGCAGCATGGCGACGCCGCCACGGCGTGACGTCGACGCCACGGTAGTGCGTAGAGGCCGCTGTTAAAATATATATGTTAGTATATAATTGTAGGCTTGGTAGTGGTTACTGAACATTACTGTAGAGGGTACAACACCCCTCTTTGTATCCCTCTCTCTTCTTTCCTAGCCCTCTTTTCTCTCGACATTCTCGCCTACCTCCTAAATCTACATCTCACGCCATTTTCATGGCTCCTACTATTTTCTACCTAGCCTAACTTCAAGACATGGTATGAGAGCAGGACGCCGTCCTGGGCCTGCTCCTCTCCTCGCTTCCGCTGCGTACTTCCCTGTTCGCCGTGACCTTTTCCAAGATGCCGTGGCGGCCTTTATGTGGTGTCGTCCCAGCGTCGACGAGCAACCGCGGCTCCCACGCCACACTGTGGTGGCGTCGTCGTGGTGCCGTGGCTGTGTTGTCGGCCTGTTGCCGTAGCTCACCACGTGCGTCGCTGCTGGATTTGCAGCCCGCCCGCCCGCCAGTAAGCGCCGCGCCAGCAATGGCGCCGCGCTGAAGATCCAAAGCCCCGCCCCTTCCCCCTTTCCTCTGTCCCCTCCTCTTCGCCACAGCCGCCGCCTGACTCTCGCCGGTCGTCCCCCTGTCGCGGAGTTTGGACACGCCGCCGGAAGAGTGGGGGCCACTGCCGTTACCGCCGTCGTAAGCCGAAGGCGTCGTCGTCGCCGCTGTCGTCGCCGCAGGCCTGTTGCCGCCGCACGCTCGTTGTCGCCGTCGCTGTCGCCGCTGCCGGGGCGGCCGCCGTCGCCGTCTCCAGGGCCTTGGGGTTGGCCCTGCTGGAGCAGTTGTGGCGGATGGGAATGGGGGTGCTAGGTTAGGGGTTGTGGGGGTGTGAGGGTCCTTGCTACCAAACCTAGGGGGTGTGCTAAATTATATATGTTAGTATATAATTGTAGGCTTGGTAGTGGTTACTGAACATTACTGTAGAGGGTACAATACCCTCTTTGTATCCCTTTCTCTTCTTTCCTAGCCCTCTTTTCTCTCGACATTCTCGCCTACCTCCTAGATCTACATCTCACGCCATTTTCATGGCTCCTACTATTTTCTACCTAGCCTAACTTCAAGAGAGCCGCCACAGCAGCGCAACGGGGCCGCCATGGCAGCACGACGTGGCCGCCACGGCGGTGCGAAATCGACGAGGTCGCCGCGGCAGCGCGGCGAGGCCGCCACGGTTGCTCGACGAGGCCGCCACGGCAGCGCGAATGTGACGGGAAGGGAAAGAGTACGCTGCGGAAGCGTGATGACATGGCGCAGCAGGAACGTCCTGCTCCGTTACCATGTTGAACAGCTAGGAACTAGGTAGCCATGAGAAATGTCGAGAGGTTTAGCTAGGTAGAGAGATAGGAGAGAAGTTGGCGAGAGAAAAGAGAGTTGGACTAGAAGAGAGAGGGATACAAGAAGGGTGTTGTACCCTCTACAGTAGGATCCAGTAACACCTAACAAGCCTACAATTGAATATATGTATATAGTATAATTTAACACACCCATCCACCCATCCCCCGATTCACTGATGCGCCGATTCGCCGATTCCCCAATTCGCCCATTCGCACATGCCCCCATGCTCCTATGCACCCATGCACCTATGCACCCACACACCTATGCACCCATCCACCCATGCACCCATGCATCCACGCAACCATTCGCCCATTCAATCATTCAACCATTCACCCATTCACCCATTCACCCATTCACCCATTCACCCATTCACCCATTCACCCATTCACCCATTCACCCATTCACCCATTCACCCATTCACCCATTCACCCATTCATCCATTCACCCATTCACCCATTCACCCACTCACCCACTCACCCATTCACCCATTCACCCATTCACCCACTCACCCATTCACCCACTCACCCACTCACCCATTCACCCATTCTTCCATCACCAATTCGCCCGTTCGCCCATTTGCCCATTCACCCATTCGCACATGCCCCCATGCACCCATGCACCCATACACCCCTTCACCCATTCAACCCCCCACCCATTCACCCATTCACCCATTCACCCATTCACCCATTTACCCATTCACCCATTCACCCATTCACCCATTCACCCATTCACCCATTCACCCATTCACCCATTCACCCATTCACCCATTCACCCATTCACCCATAGACCCATTCACCCGTTCACCCGTTCACCCATTTACCCGTGCACCCATTTACCCATTCACCCATTCACAGCACATGCTTAGTAATTTTCACCAGCCTCAAAGTAGTTATTTAACAGTTTCAGGTGATGAAACTGTCAGCTGTTACGCACATTTCCGCAGTTACGAATTGTGCGTCACGTGTGTTCAATTTCTCAATGTCGCACATAGATTTGCCTTTGCGGTCTAGATCGGTTCATTTCGAAACTTCCGAAGGGGCAGGAATTCGCGCACTTTCGGAACGACCCCTTAGCACCAGAAAATCATTTCTGTCGAGGAGCCGTTCATAGAAGAGATTTCCGCGAACTGAATCTGTAGCACTCCCACAGAAGAGAGTTTCGAAATCTCTCTGCAGCGCTCCCACAGAAGTGCGTATCGCAATTTTTATGCAGCGCTCCCACAGAAGTAAGTGTCGAAATCTTTCTGCAGCGCTCCCACAGAAGAGCCCTCACGCCAGTGCGCTTGAGGTCCTTTCTACAGCGCATGCCGAATTTCGATTTCTGCCGCGAAGTCGCCTGCAGACGCGCATTCCGCGAGCCTGCAGACGACAGGTCATCTGCGAATGGCCCCTCGGTAGAAGTGTCTTCTCCACTCCGTAATCTCCACAGACCACTTCCATAGAGGACCGCATTCGTCGTAGAAGCCACTTGTAGAATCGCCTCTCGCAGGAGCTGCGCCATCAACAACAAAGTCACTTCAACGGGACTGCTCTCCGTCGATGAGCATTTCCGCAAAGCCTCGCCTTGTCGACAATTCTGCCCTTCGTCGATAGGCCTTTCTGCAGGGATTGCATATTTGTTCTTCTGCAGACTTCTGCATCCTTCGCAGGACAAGGGCTATTCTCAACATTCAAGCTCGCATGCCATTAACTCAAGCTCGCATGCCATTCTCTAAAGCTGGCATGCCATTCTCTCAAGCTTGCAAGCCATTCATTCAGGCTCGCATGGCATTCACCCAAGCTCGCATTCCATTCTCACAAGCTAGCATGCCATTCACTCAAGCTCGCATGCCATTCTTCCAAGTTCGCATGCCATTCTCTCATGCTTGCAGGCTATTCACTCAAGCCCGCATGCCATTCTCTCAAGCTGAAAGGCCATTCTCCCAAGCTTGCATGCCATTCTCTCAAGCTCACACGCCATTAATTAAAGATCGCATGTCATTCTCTCACGCTTGCATGCCATTCTCTCAAGCTCGCATGCCATTATCTCAAGCTCGCATGCCATTCTCTCAAGCTCGCTCATGCCATTCTCTCAAGCTCGCATGCCATTCTCTCAAGCTCGTGTGCCATTCTCCCAAGCTCGCATGCCATTCTCAAAAGCTCGCATCCCACTCATTCAGGCTCGAATACCATCTCTCAAGCACGCCTTCCATTCTCTCAAGCTCGCATGCCATTTACTCAAGCTCACATGCCATTCTCTGAAGCTCGCATGC